AGATATTATTACTATCATTACCAAACACCTTTATAATTATAAACCAAAAACACAAAAACCCATGAAGCGACGTTCGGCTCCAGGCCCTTTTCCTGACCATTGATTGGTCGGAAGCAAGGTGCCAAAACTAGTATAAAACCGATGTACACGCACAAGGTCGACAGATAGTCTCTTACTTTTCCTGCATGATTTCTACCTTATTTATTAAATTAATAAATTTTATTTGAGGCTACCTAATTTCTCCAAATTCTTTTAGAGTATAGGGCGGACCTACGCCAGGTGACTCTACGCCAAAAATCAAGAAACAAGCCCCACATTTCTGGAATTTTACGCCTTTAACCAACCCGAAACGAAGGCGATCTCAACCGTTACACGGCCCGTTCCGTAACACATTGAATATTTCAATAAAATAGTATACTTTATTCCTACGTTAGTTTGAAAAAATTTCGAAGATCCGATTCGCAACCTTTTCTACAGCAAAATCATCTCCAAGTGCAAAGGGTTAAACTGTTGCAATTTTCTAAGAAGAATTTTTCATTTCTACAAGTTACTTGGAGGATGCGTGAATTATTTTATACGTATATTTATTGGTCAGCTTTGGATGGTGAAAGGCGATGCAACGATAATTGAAAGCATATTTTTAAAGCGTCGATTAAGTCACGGACTCAGGATCGACAGACCTCGATTGGTTATTCAATCGAGCAAAACGTGAACGAACGTTATTCCGTAATTGATGTAAGGCAACTGTAATACGCGAATACCAATAGGATCGGTTTAGATACATAAATTGACGCGTTGGACAGCGGCGAACGCAGTGAAGAAAAAGAAAAACTGTTTTGCACTTCGGTCGAACGACGGTTTAATTCTCGCCGATATAAAATTACCCATGTTTTTATTACATTTTCGATTTAATTAGGAGGGATTAAACATTTTTCCTAGATTCACGTGTATTTTATAGTTTCAACAGTTGAGCAATTGTTGTCTCGAAGTTTTCTATCGTTCGAGCCAGTTGAAGCTCGTAGCCTTCAACTGAAGTTGGTTGCCTTACCTCTGTGCATAGAATTTCCCTGGAGTGACGCACGTTCGATGGGGTTAAAAATGCAGCTAGTTACGTAAGGAACACGAGACTTGGACGGTCGATTACGTGGGCAGTCAATCTGGACGAATGTGTGTGTTTCGATAGAGAGAACCGACGCACACGAAGGAACGTGGAATATGCATCGTGTAACATCGAATGCGTGCCCGTTCGAGCGTAACGTTTCACGAGAATGTTTATACCCCGTTTATGTATCCAGGGAGTACGGGCAAGCTTAGGAGGTACTTTAAGTACCCGCCATTTGCATCGTACCTGGCCACTGGAAGGAATAATTGGCTTCGAGATAGCGAGACGGCCGCTTTCTCGAAAATCCGCCGCGCGAACGCTCGAAATGCGATCCTGGATCTCGGTGATTGATCTCTCGCCTGACGTTTGTGACCGGGAAATTCTTTTTCGAGAATGTTTCTCAAGCGATCGAGAGACTTTCTCTGTGAATATCAGACGAGATGTGTTTGAATTTTTCATTTCGATTTTTCAACTTGAATCGAAACTTTAACTTTTCAATTTGAATTTGAATATTCTGAATTTATGTAATCGATTGAATTTCAATATTTTCATTGTGATATTGAAATTTGATTGGTTCCATTTGAATATTGGGAATTTCACTGATTGAGTTGGAATAATCAAATTTCCATATTGTTAATTGGATTCAATTTTATAATTAGAATTTGAATAATTTCTATTTGATCGGCACAATTTGTATCATTTCAATGTGAATATTTCGAATTTGAATTTAAATTCGAATTCGTATTTTCAAATTTGCATCTCTCGATTTTCTTGAACGTCGATGTAAAAGTGCTCGCAACGAACGTATCGATTATAAATATACATGGCTACATTTATTTTCGACATGAAATCGGTATTACATGGCTTATCCTACGTGTCACTCGATAACGATAAAATTCATACGAATCACACCACCGAAGGGGTGAAATTGGATTAAATAAATAAATTAATTCAATAAATAACAGTCAAACAGCAGTCTCGATCAATTTTACGTCTCGTTTTCGTCATCTCTCTCCGTAACTGGAGATTCCGTTGGCGGTTCGGTCGGCCATTTCCCTACGGTAGCAGCAGGATCGACGGTAGAGGGTGGATCGGTAATAACAATAGGTCCAAGAGGCTCCGCCGTTTGTTCTTCATCCTTCAAGCTATTCTTATCCTTCTCGTCCGACACTTGAGAATTTCCATTCACTTCCGGTTTCAACAGAATCATCTGCACATTCGTCTCTGTCTCATTCTGAGCAGGCACCGGTGGTTGTAATTCCGTGGACGGCACCATTGTCTTGATCTGACACTGACGACCCATGTAGCCGATAGGACAGATACATCTACAAACAGATTTTACGATTACACTTACACGGTTACTGTAATCGAGGTAAACGGTGTCATTGTCAACGTTGATTGCCAAGGGCATTACCGGTAATTGCCATCCTCCTTGGTCATGCTGATGCAAGTGGCGTTATTGCGACAGATTCCTGAATGCTCGTCGCAGTAAGTCAGCTTCTCGTTGCACAGATCACCGGCCCATCCTGGCTCGCAACGACAATCCCATGGTTTTTTACACGAGCCGTGAACGCAGCCGGGATAAGAGACACACTCGGTGCAGTTTGGACCTGTCCAGCCCACGCGACACCTACACGTACCTGGTCGACGACAGTTGCCGTGCTCTCTGCTACATCCTTGCGAGCAAATCGCTGGAAGATAGAAATATCCAAGATGTAGAGCAGGGGTGGCCATAGCGCGGCTCTCGCAGGCGAGTGGTGCGGCTCTTATGCAAATGAAACGTATGTATGAAATATGGTAAACTAAAACTGATCAACGTCCAAAAGTAATTATGGGTAAACTTTAACAAATTGAACTGATTCTTCAGTTTCTCGTTGTTCGTTTTGTTATCGAAGAAAAAAGTAATGGCTCTTTCGAATATTCCTTCCTGAAATGTGGCTTCCAAAGGTAGCGTAGCTGGCCACACCTGATGTAGAGGAAGATCAGAGGAATATTGCTCCTAGGATGAACTTACGCGTTTGACAGAGAAGTCCAGTCCAGCCTGGCTCGCAACGACACTCGAGAGGTCCTTGACACGATCCGTGCACACATCCTGGCAAAACTGCACACTGTTTACACCTTGGACCCTGCCAACCCAGTCGGCATCTAGAAAACGGAACATTGTTTCAAGCATTTTGTGATATTTACTTATTTGGAACGGTGGTAGCTTTCGGAGGTGTAAATATAATTTGAAAAATTTTTCTTGCAATTTCAGAAAACGCTGTAATTTCACGGAAAAGCTATAGTAAATAGTATTACAGCTTCCATGTTTCTTTGTAATATTTACTTATTTGGAACAGTGGTGGCTTTCAGAGGTATAAATAGAATTTGAAAAATTCTTCTTGCAATTTCAGAGAACGCGGTAAATTCACGGAAAAGCTATAGTAAATAGTGTTACAGCTTCCATGTTTCTCTCCCCCCACCGAATTATCAGGCATGAACGTTAATAGGACGAGGGTATCGAGCAAACGGCCGGTTTCATTGCTTCGATCCTGCGCTACCGGCACTGATAACCGCTCATTACTCAGCCATTACGTTGAGTCGCGCTTTACCTGCACTCGCCGGGTTTCTCGCAGTATCCCTGGCTCGGTAGACAATCAGATGCGCAGATCGGTTCTGAACAGAACATGCCTTTCCATCCTGGATCGCAGGAGCATTCGAAGCTCACGTTACAACTGAAAGCGAAAATCCATTTGGTCAGTGTGCATGTTACCGTATGGAATTGTTTCTCCTGAGGAAACGAGCGTTTCGCATTACACGGAAGTTAGGTTTGCCATTGGCCACGGTGAAATCGGTATCCGATTCACGGTTGGGTATCATTAAGCAAAGGGATTTCAGCGGTTATTGGTAACCGTATCATTTGTCGAATATCATATGTATATTCTTTGGGGAATTGAAAACTGAAGTTGTGCTCGTGTTTCTGTTTTATCCCAATTTATTTCGTGAATATCTTCTTCGAATATATTTCTCATCTTATTATATTCGATTTGACAGATTCAAAGAATAGATAATTTTACTTGAAGTCTTTTTTTCTTTTTAAATAGAGCATTCTGTACTTTTTCATTCGACGAGTACGAAGGGGTTGTGTTTTTGATTTTCCCTAATTTATTTCGTGAATATATTTTTCATCTTATTATTTTTATTTTCGGGCTAAATAATTTAATTTGAAGTTTTCTTTAGCAGAACGAATAACGAATATTCACTTGTTTCATAGGTGACATGACATAAGAACTGCTAGAGAAATACACAAGTATTAAGAATCTTATTGAATGTGAAGCAAACATAATCAGTCATTACAAAATTATTAAGATCCTGAAAAAAATGATTCAGTCCGGAATTTCGAAGTGTGACGAGCACATACGATAAAACTTCTAAATTTCCATTTAAGGTACAATCATAAAAATAAGTTACTGATTACGCCACACCGAACATTGTCACGAAATTGAGTCACTTTCGTATAATATAGAAAATAATTATAGCTATCAATGAAAAAAAATTCGTAGTATTGTCATTACACAAAAACGATTGCAAGTTTGGAAAATCTATTCAAGCCATTGTCTTGTGCATAAAAAATAACGAAATTTTGCCCCTTTCTATTTTTCTCACAAATCTACCACTTGCGAGAAAAACACGAACATCCCAATGAAATGTACTTTAAATCATATAACACTTTCTGTACGAACATGATAGCTGTCCGAATACTTCTGAACGGCAGTATGTATATGTGAGAAAGGCAACGAGAGGTTACCTGCCATGCTGACATCCTGGTAAGGCAACACACTTGTCACACAGTTCGCCATAGAAGCCCAATTTACAACGACATTCACTGGGTCGGCGGCAGTAACCCTGAAGAGGGTCGCACCCCTTCCGACAGATTGGCACGTCGCACAAATCTCCGGTCCATCCTAAATCAAATAAAAAGACACCAGCTATAGAAAGAGGAATCTCCATACCAGTTCGCCTTTTTATTGTACTTTTCTGCGCCATGTCTGCAGGATGAATCCCTTCAGTTCTTTTCTTTTCTTTTTTACCTGGTAAGCATTTCACTTCTCCAGCTTCGTCGCAGACGTAATGGGAATTAGGATGCTGAGAGGCCGGTATCTCGCAGGCTTGCTTCTTCCATTTTGGAACGTACCTAAACCAGGTATAGATAAATTGCAGCTTATAACGATGTACATGGTTATTATGTTAATGCTCGAGTGATTTAAGAAAGGAAAGGGGCCCAGTTTCAATTAAAATATGTAGAACAGTGGAACGGAACATAATTGTAAGATAAACATCGACAGCAATTAGAGCGACGTTGCGCTGGCCATGTGACGTGAGCCTGTTGCAACACAATCTGATCCCCGATAATTACGAGCCGTGTATTATTTTCCATAATTATTATCTTCTAACTGTTTAAAACGAAATCTCGTTACAAGTGCGTGCATTACCAGACGAAAATTTCGAATCACTGTGCATTCCCAGAAATTTTCCCAATTTTTTATCATTCAAATCAATCGAGTCCTCCACAGCGTAAATTTCAAATCTACGAAGAATTAGCAGCAGATTTAACATTAACGTTAACTGGCAGGTGATTAAAAAATGTTCGTATATACATGAATCGTAGGAAATTACGACACATCGGAACCCCAAATTACAACTTTGCATCTCTCGCTTCGTCAAAGGGTTAAACACGATTCGAAAAAGTCTCCGAAGAATCCTCGTTAGAGGAGCAAGTCAATCAGACGAGATAATAATTACCCAGAGTACCTTGGACCAGCGGTGAATCCAAATGGCAGCGCACCAAGGCCGAAAACAGCGGCGTAACCAACCGATGGGCCATCTTTCAGTGTGCCCAGCTCACCGGGACCGATCAGGAGGCTGAGACAGGCGAGCAGCAGTATCATCTTTGCTTGACTTCCGAGTCAAGACTGAGGACGACCGCGTCCAAGGCTTCGGCTTGGATAACGGGACCTTGTTCGAGGTCACGGCACACTTTTTCATCGTAACTGGCCGGCTGTGGCGCGAGCGAACGCCGCTTTTGTACGCGTGTACGTAAGTACGTGCGCCGTACACACAAACAGCCTCAGAGCTCTCCCCGTTGACTTTTTTCGTCGGCTCACGACGAGTTTATTATTCGCTCGGGAAAGTTCAATGCACCTCTTCGCCGCCATGGAGGAGCCATTCCTCTCTGTTCGAGCTCGCGCGTTCGCCACGGCCACGGAAAGGAAATGGACGTTCCTCGAACTTTCACGCGAGCCACGATGGAATTTCGGTACATCCATCGAGCTTCTTCGCCACGAATAATAACAGTTCTTTCGTTCTCTCGCCTTACCTTCGTAAGGTGAATGTGAAATTTTTTTTAGCCGGGATCACGGCCGCCTTGTCAAAAGGAGGGGAATCCTCTAAATGTAACGGGAATCGCTTCTTTTTTCCACGTATTCGAAGAAACCGTTCGCAGTTGGCGTTGTCCAAAGGATTCTCCCCCTCTATAATCTCGTGTAAATCCATTCGATACGGGCCTAGACCCTTTCTAGATTCAATGAAAAAAACCTAGGAACCCTCGTCAGTGGATTTTTATCCAGAGACAAGGAGGTGGGACCTGTACAAAGGGGGATTTCTGGCTGTGCACGATGGCGAGATTAAACGTAAGGCGCTTACCAGCGAAATAAAAATGTCGGAGTATCGGTGAACCGCGCGATTTTAGGAAAAATATGGGTTATAGATGTGGGATTTGTTTTGATGAGAAACGGGGGAAAATGTGCTTATCAGTGGTAGTTTATTCATATTTTTTTCAAGGGACTATGTACAAGCTTCTATTTACAAATAAATACAGAGCACGGCGCCGTTCTTCTTTTCTCGATGATAGGAACTCTTTAAACAGTCTGTTCGTTGCGCGTTGAGCAAGGAGTTTATCTAAACAGTGTTGTTTTCTATTACAATGTAAAAATATTCGAGAATCTGTACATTCTTCAGCTACCTAGTCTTATTTATGTATAACTCTTAGCTAGATACTTTGTACATTTTTCGTTCAAACATTTACAGAGTTGCCACTAGACATGTACACACCTTACAAAATATTCTCTATCGATCGTTTACATCTCTACACAGACGTGAAATTTACATCTCCGTATATAGGAGAGTTCCCCGAGTGTAAAATCACCAGCGACACATCCGATTATCCTTTCACAAATGGACGTAACAAACCGGCAATCGTAATCCTTCCTCCTACTCCTCCTCCTCCTTCTCGTCCTTTTTTTCAACTCCATCAGAAGGATCCTCTCTCCTGTCAGAGCGAACGTATCCCTGAGTTTGTCATCGTCCACGACGATTCTTCATCAACCTTCCGTCCATCCTCTGAGCAAAAAACAGTCATCCTCAGACTTCCTCGGCCTCTATGCTTTTACCCTTTCTGCAGACCTTCGCCAGAAGGAGAACGATCAGCAAAAGAACAGCACAACCGCAGGCAGCGTAGACGTCCCAAGGATACAGGTCCTCGAGGGTTCTCTCTATCCTCTTAGCCTGCACGGAATTAGGCCTGGTGTCCACCTCGATGGGAAAACTTCCAGGTCCGTCGTTTGAAGCGATTCTGACGAGGTACTTCGTTCCAGGGAGCAGAGAAATCTGCGCGGTATTTGAATCTGTCACTTGATTTCCCATCAGACCACCAGTCTCTGGCTCCCACGACACCACGTACGATTCCTTGTTACCTAAGTGATCCTTGTCGATCCTGTCGTTGTATGTATTACTCGTCGAAGGTGTATTGTCAGCTTCGAAATCATCGGAACGATCGTCCTTCCTCCTGAAGAAGAACCTTCTGAATATTTCATCGGAGATCTGAGAGTCCTCTTGACTTCTCCACTCGGCTAACACCTTTTCTCCATATTTTTCCAGGAAGAACTGCTTCACTCTGTTGTTGAATCTGACTTGCTCCAAGGCTTTCTGCTTTTGAAGTTGGGTTTGTACGTCTTTCCAGGAGACACTTGCTTCGTATAGAGGACCTTCTTTCAGGGACTCCAGCTTTGGAACCCATTCTTGCCAGCTGTAATGCTTCACGCCGTCCTCCATGGCGACGATGATCCAGGTATCTGGTCTCAGGTTTGGTGTACGCTCTCCCGAATAGTATCCCGATACTCTCCATTGTTTGTACAGTTTACGCATTACCACTGCCACGTCGAATTTGTCTAGATCGATGGGCGCCTTCTTTGGTGCTGGTAACATGGATGGCAGATACTTTTCTTCGACTCGGATTTTTCTGTAGTTACAGGCAGTCTGACATGCTGGACACTGAAAAGTATATTTGTCGTTAGTTTTACTTTACCTTCTTTTTTCCTTCAGAAAGAGATTTTATGCGGAGAGAAATTCGTGTACACATGAGTGAAACAATTTTCATTCTTTTCTTTCAATAGGGAGTCTCGACAGATTCGATCAGAGTTTATCTGTTTCAAGGATCAGTCCTTGAAAAAGTGCATTAGAGGGGCAATAATTAACGATCTACCTAACAGAGACATTCTTTTTATCTAGCAGAAATCGTCCACAGGGATTTCGAGGAGTCTCCCCCTCGTAACATGGTAGTCGACCGTTCCCCAAATATTTGAAAAAGATTCCTATCTACATGCAGCTAGATACACAGACAGTTTAAATTCGAACGAAAGCAAGCTTTGACCTTCTGTGAAAATCGACAGGTAGCCGTTTCCAAGGATTTTCCCAGACTCTTTATCGGAGGGTTCCTTTTCTCTCGTTTCTTCTTGTAGCTTTCTTTAAAGTTAACCTCCCGCGCAAGAGGTTTCCCTCACGCTTCATCTACCCGAATTTTCCGCCGTTTCGATACGCTCGAATTCTGGGCGGAGATTTAAAGAGGAAAGTTTAGAAATCGGAGAAATTCTTGACACGTAAAGATATGCAACCGGGAATCTACATGTGAAAATCAACCGAAAATGAAGAATAACATTTTTTCGTAAGAAGCTTAGTTTTTCGAGGAAATTGAATTGAAAGACGTAAAGCGATAAAATCATGAAGAAACGTATTATCAGTCCTTATCACAGCATTGCCACTGTTCCTTAGTACAAACACGAAGCGCGCATGCTCAAATATTTAAACTTGACTTTTTCGAAATAGAGGCTTCAAACGAACAATATATTTTATTTATTTTTACACGTAGAACCATCCTATGTCCCCTTGTACCGCGCATTCTGCCTCACTCTATATATTAAATGAAAAAACAAAAAATCTAGCCTTCCTCAAACTCAATTCTTAAACGAAACATTGTACGTATTTTTTATACAATCTCGCTAACAAGATACGTCACAATTCTCTCCGCTACACAAGTTCCCCGTGTGTTCCCCATCGGGGGAACAAGTATATCGAAAAATTCTCTTTCCCCATGGTACACAACCCTCCCCTAATTCCGAAAAGAGCCGCTTCACCCGTAAATTTACTTACATGTAGATACTGGTCGCCCTCGCAAATGGTTCTCGTCTTCTCCCACCGGTTCTCGAGGGCCTCGCAGTACTGCCAGCACTGTAACGCAGAACACAGAGAGAAAATAAGAAAAAGGGAGAGAAGAAAAACGAGAGAGAGAAATAAAACACACGTGAAAAAGAAGCGTGGCATGGACAGAGAGAGAGAGAGAGAGAGAGAGAGAGAGGGTGTGCTTCAGCGTCGAACAAAAAGCTCTTGCACGCACGGGTAAAAAGGACGACGGTGCGCGAACGGCGGTAAAGGGGATAAAGGGGGGTGAAGCGCGCGCGCGCGGAGAGGGCAAAGGGAGAATAAGAACCATCGGCTGGACCGTTGAATCGGGCGATTTAAGCGGCCACGAAGAGAGGACCGAAGGAGTAAGAGGGTGCACGCAGCCACGAACAGGAGAAAAAAGGAGACGGAGGAGAGGGAGTGGAGTGGGGAGGGGGTAGAGGGGGGCCGAATTAGCTCCAACCTGTTTCAGGCATAACAGGCACCGTCGTTGTTGTCTTCATATTTATTGGGGTACCGTCTCTCGTGGAGCCCTGTTTTCAGATTCTCTCCTTTTTTTCTCTTTTTTCTTCGTTTCTCTTTACTTCTCTCTCGGAGAAAGAGACCCCTCTTTTCCTCCCCGATTATCCTTCATCACGATGCGTTCCTTCTAAGTCCGGCTGCTTCGTAGAAACGCCGTAGGTCCTCCCTTTCGCGCTAATGACGCCTCGAAAAAAAGCAACATCAGCATCCAGCATCCGACAGCTTTGCGATAATTCCCCGTCTCGGAGGTACGACCATTCCCCCCTCTTTTCTTCCCTTTGTCAGTTTTTACTTCGTTTCGGGTAAACGTGACGGTCGTGCGGTTGGGAAAAGAATGAAATTGCAGAGAGGAATATTGCAGATGGGGTATTAGGGCTCCTACCGGTATGTATGTATGTATGTACGAAAGTGGATTGTTTCGTCGTCGTTGGTCGTTCGGTAAATTGAAAGGCAGGATGAATCGATAGAGGCGTCCCTTTTATCCCGTTTATTTCACTTTACGACGGAACGGTCATTGATTTCCCCCCTCCGGCGAGGGGGCCAACGCGGTTTTTACGACCCCTCACGGGTGATCGTAACTCGATAACACCCCGATCATCGTCGCATTCGATGAAATTTGACGGAACGATCGGACGCCTTTGACGTTTCCACCTTGAAGAATCGTTCGGCGATGAGCATCGTTGAAATTCGAGATTGATTAAATCTGACACAATTAGGCGGTATCGCCAAACGTAATCTTTCATCGTTCTTAATGCTTTTTCCTAAGACTACGATCGATCTCTCTTCACCCATACCGTCTAATATTCGACGCGCGGGATAAAAGTTTGGCGCATGTCAGCCTGTGAAATTTTCCGCTCGAACGGAATTTTGAGAGGAAAAAAACTTTCCGCCACGAGTATCAGGAACATCAAAGTGTCGAAGGGGAAGCCGCAACAACGTTTCGGAGCGTCGAGTTCAACCTGACGGCAATTTAAAACGCTGTCCCCTCGTTTCCAATCGGTCGATCACCCGGCTTTCCCCTTCACGGCCGATTGTCCGGAGTAAAACAATTATCGTTCACGAAAAGGGCGGTTCAAAGCGAGCGCAAGCGATTCCCCACGCAGGAATAATCGTCATTATCCGGGCGTAACTCTCTCCAAGGGGGTTCCATGAGCGCGCGACCTTCGTTAAGCCACCTCCGCGCGTCCGCCTCCTCCGAGAATCGTTATTCTAATGTGTCCTGTGGAAACGAGCCTCGAAGACTCTTTTCCCCGTGCATAAATTTCAATGGATCATCGTCAACCCCATTTCCCCCTTATCATCTCGAAAAGCAGATCATAGGCGGCTTTTTTAAGAATAATTTTCCAGCAGCTTTGAATAAAATTCTGCGTTTCTTTGAACCTATAAGTAATGTCGCTTCTGATCTTGGTTCGATGAACTTTTTTTCCGACTGTACACATCAAAAACAATAATACGAAAAATTAAACAATTTAACTGGAAATTAATTTCTACATCCACCATATTCTCCTGATTACTGGATTACTAGAAAACTTTTTAAGTGGTAGAGACTTCAAAAATACAGATCACTTGAAGTTAACATTCGATCAGTTTTTTAATTCAAAAGATAAGAATTTTTTTTAGAAGAGGATTGAAAGGCTTAAATCGATTAATAGTATGTGTAAATACTATTATTTTTTATTGAAATTGCGCTTCTAAAATGACTTATGCGATGACCTAATAGTGGCTTTTCTCATCTGACGAAGTTCGCAAAAATTGTAGTCCTTTCCCGAGCATAAATTTCAATGGATCATCGTTAGCCCTATTTCACCCTTATCATCTCGGAAAGCAGACCTTGTAAATTTCTTAATAATAATCTATGTCAGTATCGCGTTTCTTTGAACCTTCTTTCATTTGACGAAGCTTGCAAAAAGATTCTATCCATACTTTGTTCTACGAAAATTTTCATTTCATCGATCTTGAATATATTAAGTTAGTCTCTGAAAAATCCTCGCTATTCATCCTCGATAATATTCACACGCAAATACAAGCTCCGCCTCGATCCGTGGGTGTACGGGAGAGCGAGATGGCATCGATTTCCCTGAAATTAATGGACACCCTCTATACACCAAATGAGCAACGCCCCGTGCGCACACGCGTTCTCTGCACGCATTGTGCGTGAGTTAATCGTGATTCCCATCTGTCCATCTGCGACGTGTCCGTCTAGGGAGGGGTGGGCTCGGCTAGCAGGGACCACCATGATTTTCCACGGCGCCCCATAAAACCGACATGCAAGATTTATCGTCACGTAGGCCCTATCAGATTTCCGGACGATCGAATCGCGTCTCACCTAGAGCGCGTGATTTCGCCCCGAGGAATTTTTCCGGGATATTTCCGTGACACCGTCGCGGATTGTTTATTGTTTGCCCGAAAGACCGGAGCCAGGAAGATAGCTGTTGACATTTTGGGGGGAATTCTCGAGGCGGGACGTGATGCTGAGCGTCTTGAGAAGGGAGATTCTGGGTGACTGGGAAAGAGGGTCACGTTAAAGTTGGAGGCCTCGTGTTTGGCTGTACGAGGAGCATGTATATTTCGTGACGAGTAACAGCCGGTTCTATTTGAGACGAGGGAAGTGGAGGGACGTTTTGTGCGTTTGAAATTAGGGAATTCTGAAGTTTCCGGAGTTTCGTAAACTTTTGAAATTTCATTGTTCTCTCAGGGTCGACGATTAAACAGAGATTCTTGTCGAAGCTTGGACACTTCAGAATGTTAAATGAATACGTGAACTTTGAATTACCATGCTGCATGTAGTTTGTTGATGTCCAGAGTACCAATCACAATTCCCATCGGAAGTGTGCTTTCTCAGACATTGAGATCTGCACTGAGCGATTCTGACAAACGGTCCAAGATCGAATCCAGTTACCATCGTGAGGCACCAGGTGACAAACAGGAACCACGAAATCTCCATGTTCAATGAAAAATCGCACTTACACACTCACTGTGTTCACTTTCTTTCAAATGTTCACTGTTATTCTTTGGTGGGGAAGAAGCACTGAATTGGTGATGTAAACAGTTAAATCCTCACTTGTGTAAAGAAGCGAATGGATAAGAGTGTAGCGTGTTGTTCGAGGGCAACGAGCAGGGACTTAGGTTCCGATACCTCCGAAATTTCGAGCCGACTGCGACCCTTCGGAGGTCGGTACGTTCCTTATGTAGCCACGCGCCCCACCATTCAATTTTAGCTCGCCCCTACCCCCTAAAGGCAGCGTAGCATCCCTTGTAATTATCCGTGGGCTGGAACCGTCCCTTGGCATATGGTCGACCACGCTGTATCACCGTCCTTCTGCCCGAATTATTTCGCTCGCGGAGAAGTAGGCCAAACTGCGGAAAGAGTTGCGATTATACCGACCATTCGTGCAAACATTACTTCTGTCTTTAGTATTCTCCTATAATTTTTGTTTCTCTTTCTTCTGGAGATAGACGAATTTCGTTCCACTGGCCCGCTAAAAATTCTTACGGTTCTACCGACCATTCTTGCAAAAATTGAACTGACAAACTTCAACTTTCTGGCCTTTCAAAAAATAGTCCTAAAAATTTCATCTTTTTGGCCTATCAGAAATTCTTGCGATTCCACTGAACATTCTTGCAAAAATTAGTCGCAAAAACTTGGTTTATTTCGTTCAGCAAACATTCTTGCGATTCTAAGGACCATTTTTGCAAAAAAATAGTGCTAAAAATTTCATCCTTCTGGCCCGCCAAAAATTCTCCTCCGTTTACCTACGACTAATTGCTCGAAAAATGTTCATTGCAACAAGTGTCCGTATCTTTTCTTACAGTAAAGAATTTCGTTCGTCCCGGTATCATATTAAGAAACTCAAGGAGGATCCTTAAAAAACGCGAAAATCATTGAAACAATGCGCGATTAACCTCGAGTATCCTTAGCATGCTCTGCACACAATCTGTTGTCGCGAATATTACCTCGAGCATCCACCCTCGCATTACAACCGCGTTGCGTTTCACTGTAATTATCCACGTGCCGTATGGTCGCCGGCATATGGTCCAGAACTCCGTCCTCCTCCATACCATCCCTCTTCATCTTACGAAACTAACGAGGAGGAAGTAGAAGAAGATTGCTCCGAAATTGACTGTCTTCGTTCAACTGTAAAACCATGTCCCTTTATCACATAACGATTCACACTCCTCACCTTCCATTCCCCTTCGTATCTCTCCAACGTACAACATCTAATATCTTCCTCCTTAGTAATTCAAAACTACAAACGAAACTCTATACCTCCAACAAACGAAGTTCTCCGAGGAAACTTCCTTGCCCCAAAGAAGATGACTATTAGAATACGCTTCCGGGCAGCGATAATCCCATGGAAGAACCGCCCAGAAACGAAGGCCTCCTGCCTGCGAGCAACGAGATAATCATCCTACGAGCAACGACCATAAGAAAGCCCCGAAGATTTTCGAGCTCCTTAGGTTGTCCAGGAAAATTTAGCCGCAATTAGCCTGTATCCGCCCAGCGAGAGGCACAACAAGTCCCTTCCTGGCTCTCTGTCGCAACTAGAAGAACGAAGAAGAGGAAGAAGAAAAAAGAGAAAAGAGCACAGAGAAAGGGAGGGGAATTGGTGTCGAATGATCGCGATTCGAGGGATGAGCATTATCAAAAGTTCTCTCTCTCTCTCTGTAGCACGATCCAATATGGTTTTCATCCGGCAGGTACGAGAAGATCTCGATCCACCCACCACCTTCGTTCGAGTAGTATAAAAGGAGCAAGAAATAGAAGACGAAAGGAAGAGGCGGAGAAGTGACGAAGGTGGGTACCGACGAGCGATAAAGAAACGTACGAAAAAGAGAGGCGGTATGAAAGAGAAGGAGGTGAAATACGTATTCACCGGAAGTCGTTCGTGCTCCCTGGGTGCCCCGCGATACACGTCACAATGCACAGGATGTGTACAAATAAGGGTATTTGTCTGGCAGTCCGATTGTGGGGTGAAATATACGATGACGTTAAACGGGCTGGTTGCATCCCTCGGTGGCGCGCGAGCTACGCCTGTGAAACACACTGATCCGCGCCGGCTCTCTGGTCGTTTGTACGCGGGGCCTTTGCCAATAGAAAAAGGCCCACGAATAGAGGAGCTATTCATCTAGCCGAGCATTTAGGGGTGGCGCTCCTTCAATGCAGAGTGACATTTTATTGTGCCACGGATTTTTCTCACACCTGGACTGTGAGCTGTGACGATTTTACTATTCGGACCGATGCTACTTCTTTTCCATCGTGAAATTACTTCTAATGGGATAACGCGACGTTTTCTTTACTGTAGAAATATCGCGAAGTTGTGCATGTCAACCCTTAGCACTCGAGAGGGGACTAAGAAGAGATTACTATTATATTTACCATTTGGTAAATAATTATTGGAGGCACTCCTACAGCTGGTATTTTACCTCCACACATTGTTTACTACATGACAGATCTCAGCAGTGAAACAGTTTGAAAAAACCAACTTCTAATAGAATTACGTTACATATTGAAGTAAAATAGTTATATTCGTTAATATATGTATAGTTTATTTCTACGTTAATTTGAAAAAATTTCATTAATTTCTGCTTACTTCCATATAGAAAAAAAGGTCTTCGGATGCAAAGGGTTAATACTGAGACTACGAAAGTGTTTTTTTCTTTTTTTTTAATTCTTTAGTTGCACGATTTTTTGGAGAATATAGAGACACTATTTTAGGTTGTTAAGTAAGTTCTGCTGATATTTCACTTAAAGATATTTATTTAAACAATAGTGTTATAATTTCTTTTCTTAATTGAAATAACGACCGCCTGCTTGAACGATCTCTTCCCACTTTTCTGGCAAGAGTTCGATTCCACGGTGGAAAAATGCAGAGGAGAAGTAGTTATCGATCCAATTTCTCACTTCATCGAGAATTTTCAAGCGTTGTCCCTTCGGACTGTGTCGCATCGAACGAAACAGGTGATAATTCGAAGGTGCGGCGTCTGGAGAATAGATAGCGCGAGGAAGAACTTCCTATCTTTACTTCGATATAATTTTCACGGTGGTTTTCAACTCGTTCTTCGTCTCTCAAGCCTAAATCAGTATTTTCGAACCGTTCAAACCATTTTTCACGTGTATCTGCACACTCAGCATCGCTACCACAGGCTTCTCCAATCGATCGTTTCGTTTTTGCCGCCGTTTCCTTCGAATTAAAAGACAACAAAGTACAACGACGTATATCCTCCTTCTCAGCTGTCCCTTTAAATCGAAATAGACAAATGTTTCTGACCGTACCATTGAACTTGTCGACGTATTTTCTTACATCAGAATAGCTAACTTTTGAGAAACAAAACAAAAATATCGGCGTGAAATTTAAACGGAGTGTAGGTATACATAGTTAACGACCTGATACAAGTTCATCTTAAGTAAAAAAAATTTAATCCCAGTGGATTATACAGAGGACTGGTTTATTCCTACCCTACTCGTATCGTCGAATCAAATATTTATCGTCGATTACCGGCGGATGCGCAGAGACCCGTCGCCCATGGTAAATATATCCGGCACGCGTCGCACATGATTCCAGAAACTCATTTAAAGCTTTCACACCGCAAGAGATACTGGGGAGATTCCCCGGGGAGTCCAGTTTCTCTTTGTCCAAACGATCATCGCTGTTTTTGTATTCCACTCGGTGAAGAAAAATTCGGCGCACGTTTCGTTTTCTGTCTATGGGATCGGATCTTCCCGTTAGCTCCGGGCTGTTACAGTATCGCGTGATGGAAACGTCAGAAATTTATGGCGGGGTTGTCCTTTTGATAAGCACGTGAAAAATGTTTCTATACCCTCTGTGTTCGTTTCAACCCTCGATTTACATTACACGTACTCGAACGCGATAGTTGAGATAACGTGACGAGAAATTTGATAGATACTGTTGTTTATTAGGTCGTTCTGAGATATAAACCGTTCATTTTGAAAGAAAAATTAAACATTTTTATTTAAAAAAATTCGAATCTCTTAGAGAAAGAAATTTCTGAAAGGCGTTTCCAACTTTCCTCCTGTTTTCTAAATCGTTTTTGCGTAAGGAAATTGTCGAGTGAGCGGGAAGAGTGAAAATCGGTTGGAGATAAATTCTAGGGGAATATGGAGGATGAGGTAGAACTTTGATATGCAGTTGATGCAATTTTTGTACAATTGTGCTTCCTACGTGTGGTCTAGTGTTGTTGTGCAAAAGGATCAGGGCCTTTTCTTTTTGCTGTACCTTCAATTTTTGGTAGAGGACCTCTAGTTCGTTTCTGTACGCGATAGTGGTACCTAACTTTAGGAAACTATAGTAAATTAATTAGACCAAATTCTGAGCATGATTTTTTTCGGGCGTAAATTAGGTTTGGATCGGATTTCTTTCTCTTACAGATTCGGATTTGTATACAGGGTGGTCCACGCAACGTGTGCACCGTTATAACTTCCAAAATATGCGTTACACGAAAGAATGTTATATACAAAAGTTACATGGTTTAAAAGGGTACACTATATAGTGCGTTAATTTCTTTTACAGGTGGAGGCGTTTCGGAAATTTGAAGGTCAACCTTGTTTTTTTAAACAGAATACTATATTTTTTATACCAAAATATGGTAGATTATCGAATTGTAAGTAAAAAAGTAACGACCGTTATTAGCCCTAAACCTAATAGCTAACGAGTAATTTCACTTTATTACTTGAAAATTTTCTTCACGTAATATCAAGTTGGAGATTCAACCTTATATCTGTGTTGACTTTCAAATCTCCGAAACGCCTCCACCTATAAAAAAAATTAACGCACTACATAGTGTACCCTTTTAAACCATGTAACTTTTGTATATAACATTCTTTCGTGCAACGCATATTTTGGAAGTTATAACGGTGCACACGTTGCGTGGACCACCCTGTATATGCGGAATTATAATACGTTGGCAAAAGTGTATCGAACTTTA